TTAACGGAGGGGTCACTGTACATCTAAGAAATCTCTCTCTTATAACTTAATCTTTCATAACCAAACCTAACCTAGCCTACCTTAACCTAACCTAACCCATCTACTGTATTTAGCATTGAGACATTTAATCCCCAGGCTTCAGATCCCGTCACACGACATACAGTAAAGCACTGTATTATACCTTTGCGGTACCGTTTGAATCGCCAAGTGGACCTGGTTAGATTACATTGCCAAGTAGGTATTTATCTTTCGCTCTGTCACACACATGCACTTCCCAGCCTCCCTCAGTGTTTGTGATGGAAGGATCTCAACACGTGTTTCTACTCCCAAGTGTGAGTGTAGTAGGAACCTTGTCCATCAGCACATTAGTGATCAATTACTGGAGGCAGTAATAATAACTGTAAATAGTAATAACACATTACAAGTGTCTTGTGCCTCATAATGCCTACAAATCAGTGCTCTCTCTCTCTCTACTACGCCCGCAGGGTCGTGGACATTCATTGCACATGTGGAGGGCTGCATCTAGTGCGGGAGGGGCGGTGGCATTGTCTTTCCGGCATTGGCGCTTGTCTGCCTCGGTTTGCTGTCAGGCTGAATCGAAAGTATTGACACCTTCTCGTGTGGTGTTCCTCCAAGCGTTACGAGAAGGAGTAATCGTCTCCCAGGTGAGGGGGTCGATTTGGCACTTTTTCAGGTTTGTCTTAAGACTATCCTTATACCTTTTCAATTGTCCGCCGGTGTTATGTTTACTGTTAGTTAGGTGACTGTAAAGTAGCTGCTTTGGCAGTCTACTGTCATCCATGCGGGTAACATGGCCAGTCCAGTGTAGCTGTTCATGGATAATGGTAGCCTCGATGCTCCTACAATTGGTGTTGGCAAGAATACTGGCATTTGTTCTCTTGTCTTCCCAGCAAACTCGGATGATGGAACGTAGACTACGTTGGTGAAAGTTTTCAAGTGCCTTGAGGTGCTTCCTGTATGTGACCCATGTCTCACTGCCATATAGCAGGGTGTGGAGGACCATTGCTCGATATACATGCAGCTTTCTAGATAATTTCAGCTCCCTACAGCCGAGATACCGAAAGTGGGTAACATTAGAGAGGGTATTACCGTTAAGCTACATGGATGGTGGAGGTGTGTCTGAGCCAGGGGCAGGTTGAAAGAGAATCTGAATATTACTTACATTCACCTCAAGGCCGAAGTGCGCATACGCATCTGCGTAGGTGTTACTGAAGCTCAGTAATGAAAGCTGCCAACACCTTTGTCCTTGCCTTGAGTAGTCTCATGTTGAAATGACCCCCCTTCACCCGGTACTCGATGTCCAACCCGCTGCCTATATTGCCACTGGCACGAGTAAGGAAGGCAGCCAAGAAAATGGAAAAGAGAGTTGGATGCCAGTACTCACCCTTGTTTAACCCCCGTTTGGATGAGGAAGAACTCAGACTGGGTGCCGTTGTGCAGGACACTGCCGTTCATGCCATCGTGGAGTTGCCTCACAATGGCAATAAATTTTGGTGGGCTGCCAAAACAGCTGAGGGTCCACCAAAGGGCTTCCTTGTTGACCGAGTCGAAGGTCTTCGTTAGGTCGATGAAAGCCACGTACAGGTCACGACGCTGTTGTCAGCACTTTTCCTGTATCTGGCGGGCAGCGAAGATCATGTCAGTGGTGCCACGTGATGGTCTAAAACCACAATGAGATTCTGGGATAGTTTTCCGCCTGAGGAAGGAGTCTGTTTAGGAGGACTCTGGCGATAATCTTGCCAGCTACAGACAGCAGCGAGATCCCACAGTAGTTGCTACAGTCTGACCAGTCTCCCTTGTTCTTATAAATATCGACAGTGGAAGCGTCTTTAAGAGCTCGGGGGATTTCCTCCTTTTCCCCGGGAGAGAGTGGAGACGGCTGGTAAGCAGAGGTCCTCCTGCTCTATACAACTGGGCTGGGATTCGATCAGGGCCTGATGTTTTTTTAGTTTTCATCTGTTTGATGGCAGAAACTACCTCTTCCAGGGAAGGAGAATAGCTAAGGTGGGTCAGCTCTGGATGCTGAGGGACCTACTGGGTAGTGAGGACATCCACATCGGTGTTTAGGGTTGAGCAATGAATGGTAGTGCTCTTTCCAGCGCTGAAGGCCTTCACCGTCTTTAATGAAGTAACCGCCAGATGAGCGAAGGGCTGCGCCACGAGTGGTTGGGCCATAAAATGTTTTATTGGAATTGAAAAATTTGTGCATCTCGTGCTGATCTGCATGCTTTATTTGTAAGCCAGTCATTCTTTAGAATGCGAAGTTTCCACTGGGCTGCCTCTTTTTTCTTGCGGAAGGTATCAGCTTTGGCCCGAGACTGAGGGTTGTCATTTTCATCAAACCAGTCCTGGTGTATTCTTTTGATCTGGCCGAGGGTCTCTCTACAGGTTTTTGTCATAACAGGGTTGAGAGTATTCCATTCGACACTGGGATTCGCATTGTTTGCTGTTGGGTTGTTTATAAGCCCATGTTCAAGCTGCTCTCTGAAAGCATGTGCTACTGTTAGATCCTCCAGACACTTAGTATTAAAAACTCTTCTGGAGGCTTGCTGCCTTCGTCGTTTTGGGGCAACGTGAAGTGAGAGCTTGGCTCTTACAATTCGAAGATCAGTGTCACAGTGGTCTGAGCCACGCATGGCACGGGTGATGAGGACATCTTGGCGATGTATTTTTCTGACAATAATGTAGTCAATGAGATGCCAGTGTTTGGATCGTGGGTGTTGCCACAAACCCTTGAACTTGTCGGCTTGCCGAAACAAGCTATTGGTGACAGTGAGCCTGTGTGCAGCACATTTGCTGAGGAGGAGCAGGCCTTTGGCATTACACTTGCCTAGTCCATTTCTCTCTATGGTTTCCTGCTAAATGTTAGCATCTCTACCAACTCTAGCATTGAAGTCACCAAGGAGCAGAACCTTGTCTTCTCTGGGGATAGAGGTTAGCACTCTGTCAAGGTCGGCATAAAAGGCCTCTTTGGTGTTATCCTCTGCATCCAGTGTTGGAGCCTATGCACTGATGAAAAAGGCATGACGAGAGTGATTCAGTGGGACTCGAAGCATCATGAGGCGCTCATTAATTCCAATAGGCATTTCAGTTAGCCTGTGTAGGATGGGTTGGCGGATGGCAAAGCCAACTCCATAAATGCGGTTTCTCTCCTCAACAGGCTTACATTTCCAGGTGTAGCCAGACCCCCATTCTGTGAGCCGGCCCTCATCTGGGAGCTGGAACTCACTAATGGAAGCTATGTCGATGTTATACCTAGCCAGCTCTTTTGCCGTAAGGGCAGTTCTTCTTTCAAGACGCTCATTTGTGCCAGTATCCAGAAGGATCCTGACATTCCATGCAGCAACCATAAGAGGTTGTATGGTTTGTTTTAGTTTGGATCTGTGATTTTGATTGTGTTTTCGACCGCATAAGGATGACCTTACTGGGTGCGGTTGCCCAGTCAGGTTAGGTTTTTAGGCAGGCTACGTTTACGAAACCTTTTCTAGCCCTCTCCCCATGTGGGGTGAGCAGAGTGGCTCCTCGGAAGGGCTGCTCAGTCGCACACAGAACCGGATTGCACTGTTAACCAGTGCATTAACGACCATCTTATCTGTGCCTCCCAGGTGCAGAGTTGTGACTAGAGACTCCCGGCAGTCATCTCTGCCTGTCTCTGTCGCCATAGGACTTTCCGGGTATGGGGGTTTTGATGATGATGAGAGGTATGATGAACTGGATGATGGCTGCCTGTGAGTTGATTCATGTGGTGAGGCAGGAGCGCAGGCTGCAATCACACATCTTGGCTCTCCCTTTTCTTGATCCAGTGGCGTAAGTGTTGCAACGACTGGGGAGAGGGAGAGTTGCAATGGGCTGCCGATAGCCCAGTTTGTTGGGTTTTACCTTAGTAACCTGTCCATCAGGCATTGCCTTCGTCTGCCGGTGTAATCGTTGGGTTTCCACAGTGGTCACATTCTTCCGCCTATACTGCCGTTGGGGTCTAGCTGGAGCTTTGTATGCATGTCTGCCTGATGCGAGGCTCCACCGCAGATTTTTCGTTCGGGGTTTACTCCCGTAGCCTTATACCTGCTGAGGTTAATCCGCAAGGCAGCAGGGCGATGGATGGTAGGCGCCAGAACATGTCCACATGCCAGTGGGCCTATGCGCCGTCCCTCTGGGGCCCACTGCTACTCCGAGATCCCGTGCTGATCTAGCCTGGGCCCAAGAGGCACCCAGTTACCGTGTGTTGCCACGAGGAGGCACAACAAGAGTCTTGATGGTGAAGAGGCTGTGTAGTTGCAGGGGAAGACTTATGCAAGTTGCTTCCCTGTTCGCCAAGAGCGCTAGCAAGCGGCGGCAGCTGAAAGCGAGAGGAAGCAAGCAGTGCTTATACCTTAACATTAACATAATGCTGCCACACTAGATGCATTTCACCACCCTGTGTGCGAGACACATACAAACTTACACAGACAGACAGACAGACAGACACACACACTCTTCCTAGCTCTATGATGCCAACCTATGGTAAGTACAGTAGTTTCCACATGAACGTACCATGGCCTGGATGTATGTGAGGGCTCGGGTACGAGATGTGGCAACGCAGCGCAGTAGTAATGGGCGTGAGACCGTTTGCCGGCTACAAAATAATGCTGTATAACACATATTACATGGTTCATTTATTTTTTTCCCTCCTTTATTGTTTGTATCTTATCACAAACAGGGTAATTACACTGTTTGGGTACTCGTACCTGAGCTGTGGTACGTTCATCTGGAGGCAACTGTACATGTATCTCTCTACTGTTTATATCATGTATGACCAGTTTGTAAGATCAGATTTTTTTTTTTCCTGAACATACCCATGTAAGAGAGAGGGAGGGGGTTTTTCTACCATAGACCAGTGCCTGGGGGTTAATCATCAGGATAAGTTGGGGTATCTAATCTTTGGGTGACAATTTAATCAAGAAAAAGCACAGGATCAAAATAAAACAAACAAAATAACATACCTTCCACCGCTAAAATCCATAAGCGACGTCGTGTCAACAGGTTTCGGATCGCGCATAGCCTCCATGACGTCATCTACTTCTGTCGCCCAGGAATACAGCGCTCCCGTACCAACCAGAGCCAACCCTCCTCCTCCAAGTGACACCTGACCTTTTGTGAGAGCCATGATTTCTGTCTCATGCTTAAGAATGGTTTTGTCAGGGTTCATGAATCTGGTGCCGCCAAAGAATGCCACATATTTGCAATTCTTGTCTGCCAGATGAGACGAGAGAATATGCAGAGCTGAAGTTTCCCATAAGCGTTCTTCAGTAAATTTGTGTGCTTCCCTTATTGTTAAAGGTAACTGTATAACATGAACTATTGGGTTACCTTCTGTGTCTACTTCATAGCGAAATGTACGTCGACCCAATCCTTCAGCCGCTAGAGTCTCTGCTACAAATGTCTGTAACACCAGGGCTCCGGTCTGAATCTTCCGAACTGCAGTATTTGGGGAGCGTTCCATATCCTTGGGCCCCTGGAACTTATCTTCATTTGCACATGTGATATAAACTAGACGAATAAACCGTGGGATATCCAATGGCTTGTACACCACCTGAATTGTAGTTTCTTCAGTTCCACATATAATTCTTAAATCATTTTTCCCCTTAACAAGTGGAACCAAGGCATTAAACCCTCCTTGATGTATTTTCCATAAGGCTCCATTTCTTCTGTTGTCACTCTGGTTGTGGATGGCAGCACAGGTAGCCTCTGGTTGGGTTCCCACTACACGTAAGAGGCACAGCCGATGGGGAAGGACCTCACCATTTTGTAAGTTTGTTACTTCAAGCATTATGAGTCTGAAATGTACAGTATACACTTACTGTAATATACATCAAGGCATAAAACATCTTTTAAATAATAAAAGTGATGCATATTAATAGAAATTCTTGACATAAAAATAACTTCATAAGGATATTAATACAAATAATAATGAATCAGACCAGGACAAAGTGGAGGAATTAAATTAATTATTTTCCTCCATGTTTACCAGACAGGATACGGTACAAATAACTTACACTTGGGTTATATGGAGTTTTCACATGTGTTTTTTTTTTTTTACGGGCATTAGCCCACCCGGGCACAGGTCACTGACCCACATCGGGGCCTGGGGGCGAAAATGTAATAATAATAATAATAATAATAATAATAATAATAATAATAATAATAATAATAATAATAATAATAATAATTCATAATAAATAAAATTGATAATAAATACAGTCATGCACCAGTTAACGTCCTAGATACCTTCTTGGAAACGTGATGTTAACCGAAATGGACGTTGTCCAAAATTACATCAACCTATCGGATTTATTCTAATGGGGGCTCCAGGCACCCAACCCCAAGTTTCCCATTTTACAACCATTTAGACCCACTAAATATACTGTATAATGTTATGGTAATTATCAGAAACACACATAGGCATGACTAGGTTTATTACAAAGTGATGAAAAATATACCATCAATACTGTACAGTGGGTAGTCCAGAAAACATGTAGCCATGTCTCTTTATTTGAGTGCCCCATCATAGGAGTCCGTTTTCTCTCACTTCAGGACTCCTGAGTCGTCCGTTTTCTCTTAATCTTAGAGTGCAGTACACCAGACACTTATTTATTCCTTAGTAATGACACAGAATTTGAAATTGCAACCCCATGGGGTTGCAACTAGATATGTCTGATTACAGCAAATGAGTTATTGTCAATTTGTGGGTGAAAGATTTTATCCTCAATAGATGTAGGTTAACATTACACTTGGAGGCAAATGTTTAAAAAAAGCCTAATCAAGGAAGCATATTCCTTTAACACATAATATCTGACCAGTATGGGGAGGATCATCGTGTCTCCGTCAGGAGGTCGTGGAGTGTTGGTCCAGCAGGCGTCACGGATTTTTTTTTGGGGGGGGGGGGGCCACGGACGTATATGCGATCAGACGTTGTTCAGTCAGACGTTAACTGGCACATGACTATACAAAATTGAAAAAAAAATGTAAAATAATATTGATAATAATAACAACACTATAATAATAATAATAATAATAATAATAATAATAATAATAATAAAGAACCATAAAGAAATACAAAAATGAAAAAATATCCAGTGAGAAATTATATACTGTATGTACTGTATGTTGCATTGTCAATAGTAAGAGAAACAATTGAGACCCTGTAATTGTGTGTAAATGAGGCAGAAAGTCAGATCAGCAACCTGGGACTTGGTCACAATTTTTGTGATGCCATATGGCAGCAGAGTCTACCATTAGACAATACATTATGCTTCCAATTTCTTCCCAGGCGGTAGTACCTCCCTGTTTGGTAGCTGACTACTACCTACCTACTACCTGTGTACAGTATTAGAGCTAAATTATCAAAGTTTTTTAAGGTTCATAAAAGCTCTGACACTGATAGTGTTCATCCCAGAATGCTAAGAGTTGTGCAATGAGCTCTCACAAAACTCTTAAAATCCTTTTCTGCAGAAATATCAATAAAAAAAATTGTTAACCAGCATTAGTTAGTCATATACAGTACTCAAAAAGGACAATCAACACTGCACGAATAATTACAGGCCGGTGAAATTGACCCGGATAGTGTGTAATGTACTAAAGAGTTTCATAGATGTGATGACATGATGGATCATCTACAATGAAACAGCCTCATGAAGAAATGCCACCACTGGTTGATGAGCAGACACTCCTGCCTGACGCAGCTCCTGGATGTACGGACACAGATCCTTGTGCGTGGTGGTAAAGTTTACCAAGGTATTTCTCAAAGCACCTCACAAAAGGCTGAAGATTTATCTGGAAGCATACCATAGTATGTGGTGATCAATGGCAATAAATCTCATGTACAGTCCACCAGTGAAAATATGCGTGCCACAAAAGAGCAAACTTCGACTGATCATTTTTTTTTCATAAATCAAATGGTATATCAGACGCTAATGATTCTTCTGTAAAAATATCTGCAGATGATGTTAAGCTATTCGGGGAAAGGCAAATATGGAGGACTTCACAGGCGCTTCCTGGTCTCAGTAACAGTAAGTTCGTCCACGGCAGGTGTTAAGTTATGCTAGGTTAGGTTAGGGTAATGTTAGGTTAGGTTAGTTTAAGGTGAGGTTAGGTTATGTTAAGGTTAGGTTAGGTTACCTTAACATGAACTTTTAAATAAAGCTTTTTAACACATTTGCGATAACTACAAGTGTCCACTATAAAAGAATGAAATTGCAGCATTTTTAAATTAATTTTCTATAACAAATCTGCAGCTTTGAAGTCATAAATAATTACCAAGGGAAATTAAAAATCTAAGACTTTTGAAGTACTGTATTATAAGAAAATCTCTATCAACTTCAGTAGTACTCAAAGAAATGGCGGCTGAAATTCAACATTGTGAAATGCAAGAGGATGTGCACTCGGAAACCATATTCTATAGCCCACCTGGGTCGGTGCTGGAGGTTAGTATAGTGTCCTTTCTGGACGGGGGCCCACTCTAACTATCACTAGGCAACACACGCACGAACACACACAGTCATAGTACGGATGTATAGAAGACATTATGTATAAATATTGTACAGTATATGGCATTTTATACTCTGCATTATCTTCATTATATATGAACACGAAGAAAAATTACCATAGGTTGTAGTTACAAAAGTATGAATGAAAATAAACACTTCCAAACCACCCAGTGAATCCACACAACGTTTACAGCTCTTGTGTGTGTGTGCCAGACCACGATGCTTCCACCACACCCCATCATTCGCGTAACTATATGAAAAATCGTGTTGAATTTAACTACATAATTCAAAAACCTTGAATTACATGTGAATCAGTCACTCCTCATTTGACACACTTATAGTGTAATACTTTGACCATCCCACCTGGGCACATGGAGGCCCACGGTAACTCTCACGGGGCAACATACGCACGAACACACAAGTTATGATATGAACCCTTCCAGGCTTCACTATCATTATCATGTTATGTTCATCGTGCTTTGTATCTTGGTAACTAGTCACAGTATCAATACATTATAGTGTTATTAGTATAATATTGCAACTTTTTACCTACAGTTATTGTTGTAAATCATGGAAAGGGAGGATAAATAAATTGTAATATCAAGTGTATGGTTCGCTCAAAGCCACCCCAAGTCAGACAACGAGTCACACAAAGTTGCACTGTGTGTGTGTGTGTGTGTGTGTGTGTGTGTTCCGTAACATTAAGCTTCATCCTTAGTAGGTAAGATGTTTCATAAAGAGGTTTCTCCCATTCGTCATTGTGAGCATCGGACCAGAGCACATTGTTTCCATCAAAACCATGGTTCATCCTTATTTCCCTTCTTCCGTGTAAATATATCCATATGGCTTAGTGCTTGCTTTTCATTTCTTTATTTACCAAAATAATGTGGATCAGTTACTCGTTATTTAACACATACATGCACTTAGAGCATCAAGATTGTTTTGTAGGCATGACTACAGTATTGGTTAATTGAAACCCCAAAAATGTGGTTTTACGTCACTTCACATAAATATGCATAACTCTTGGGAATCTGTCCAGACATTAAATATATGATATATACTACAATAATCACATAGATATGTTTACAATGTTTATGCATAATAAATGTGAAAAATATTTTTGGGGTTTCAATTAACCAATAGTTATGCCTACAAAACAGTCTTGATGCTCTAAGTGCATGTATGTGTTAAATAACGAGTAACTGATCCACATTATTTTGGTAAATAAAGAAATGAAAAGCAAGCACTTAGCCAATGGATATAGTAACACGCAAGAAGAGAAATAAGGATGAACCAATGGTGTTCTTGCATGACGACTTTTAATCTTACATGTAACTTTGTGTGACATATATATATGAAGATAATGCAAGTATAAAATGCCATATACATAACATGATAATGATAGTGACCTATGACTGTGACTGATCCACATGTGTGCGAATGATGGAAGCATCTCGTGGTAATTTTTCGTGCTGTACTATGACTGATAGTTGAGATTATGGTTTCCGAGTGTACCTTGGTGGTACCAATAGTGGGGGAGCATCTCACATAACACCCAGTGTAACGAAGACATTCACCTAACAAAGACGAGATGAACACAAGACCTAAGTATTTATATTGACAACAAACTTAATTTCTTAAATCATTGAGGAGGAGGATCTTGCTAATAAGATGTTAGGACTTATACAAAGTTCCTACACATACTTAGATGGTCTGTCCCTCATAAGGCCTTTCAAAAGTGTAGTGCAGAAGTAATGTAATCCTGTTTGGTCTCCCAAGATACACCAAAGACTGGTAAATGATCGAGAACGTCCAGAGAAGGGCTACCAAACTGGTGCCGGCACTCAGACACCTCGCTTACAGTGATTGGAAAGTCTTCCATTATTCTGTTTATAGGTACTGTACAAGAGCAAGGATAGAACAGAAATATATAAGCACCAGTCAAGTGATAAGAGTATTTTTAAATTCATTTAATTGTTATACATTATTTAACAAGCATGCACACCTAAACATGAACCGTACCAACACCGTTTTAAATTTGGTAAACGTTTACTTAAGTGCAGGAAAAAAAAATTTCCTGCATGAAATTTGCTGCTTTTTGTATTGAAGGGTGTTTTTTCAGGGGAAAAAACAAAAAACTAAGGTTTTCCAATCATGGTCAAACATTAGCTTTTTCAGCGTTTCTGGAGAAATCAACATCATCCAGTACATAAAACAGTAAAATTTATGCAGGATTTTTTTTCTGCTTTTATGTACAATGAAAGACAAGAGTCGTGTCGCAGGACTGTCCAAAGATTAAATATAACTCGTGAAACATTATGAGAGCCGTACCACAAGGCAGAGCGCACCAAACATTTTAGCCCTTTGGCATATGTTTTCACCAAATTCAAAACACAACTTTTGTCTTTCATTGTACACAAAAGAAGCACTAACCTACCCCCCCCCCCCCAGTAGATATGCAATGTAAAGTCAGTATTTAACTTATCCTTATTTAACCTAACTTAACCTGACCTAACTCCCTAGCGAGGAAGGGGGGGGGGGCTTCGCCCACCTTGGATCCCCCGGAGTTGTTATATAATGTTGTCAGTATTTTATTTAACTTATCCTTATTTAACCTAACCTCACCTAACCTAACCCCCTAGCAGGTGGGCTCGGCCCTCCCTCGATCCTCCTGAGTAGTTATATAATATTGTCAGTATTTAACTAATCCTTATTTAACCTAACCTAACATAACCTGACCTAAACCCCTAGCAGGATGGCCGTTGATTCTGTGACGAACATAAGAACAAATATCTCATGACACGTAAGTCACTGCGACCACGCCCACGGCTCATGCGGTTTTATATTATAAATTATATAAAAGAAACACTTCCCCAAAAGAGAAGTCACTAGCAATTAACAACAATTATGGTGGAAAAGCAGTGTGTTCTTGCTAGAATCGTTGGCAGCATTAATCTACAAATTAACCTTAAATTTATATAACCTTAAAGCGTTATTATATTAAAGATGTTGAATAGTGAAGCTAAAGGCATGAGACGACCCGGCACAACAACTGTTCAAACTAACCACGCCCACCCCCATATATTAATCCTTGCACTCTTATTAAACGAATTAAAAATGTATGAAGTACATTAAACACAACATAGGTGTCTTACATACCTCCTCGAAATACGCTGACGAAACCGTGTATTCAACTAATGAATTTTGCAGCCATGGACTCAGGCACTACTGCATTGCGGTGACGGGTGTCGTCTGCTACCTCTTGTAAACACTATATATACATCTTTTTATATTATTTATAATCCAAAATACTCACAAAAACATAAACCTAAGATATTATTTAAAACTTATTTAACTTTCCCACCCTCAAATATTAAATTTTAAATATAATATGAAAATATGATTAAATATTAAGATATATTACCTCTGTACCTTTTAACTGGTACGTACGGTAGTCAGAATTATACTTTATAATAACTGTCCCACAATATCTTATTGAACATATATTTCGTAATTGATGAAAAGAAAGAGAATACTAGTAAGGAACATAACTTGTCACTCACTCTTACCTCTAGTATGGATTTCCCTAGCATGTTTCAAGCTGTTCCAGTCCTTACATGCTGTGTGTGTGTGTATTGTTTGTTCGTTTTATTTACATGAGTGAGTGTGAGAGGCATATGTGCTCACGAAATTGCTTGGGAGTGTGTGTACAGAATCTTGTAGATAAATTTTATAGCTTTACGCCACTTGCTTTGATTACTTATTTTAATATTATTATTATTATTAGTAGTAGTAGTAGTAGTGTTGCATCACCTGGAGATTCGCCCCCTCGCTTAACCAACCTGAAGTTCAGAAAACTGTCAAGGCAAACGTTTTCTGAATGAGAATTGTAAACTCTTGGAACAATCTGCCAGTGTTGTGACGGTACCGAGTGTGAGCTCATTTAGTACTAGACTAAGGACACCAACACTGGCATATGTTCAAGTACATGAAGAACCCGTACATTGGTCAGTACTTGCCAACAGTGTGCAACAGAGTCCGTACATGCCCAGTATTTGCCAACATAAGAACATAAGAAGATAAGAAGATAAGGAGTCTGCAATAGGCCGGTTGGCCTGTGCATGGCAGCTCCTGTCGAGAGTTACTACCACTCTCTATCATCCATGAATCTATCTAGCCTCCTTTTGAAACTTTCCAGAATTCCCGCACTTGCTACAAAGTTGCTAAGCTTGTTCCACTCGTCCACCACCCTATTTGTGAACCAGTTTCTTCCTATCTCCCTCCTAAACCTAAACTTATCCAACTTGAATCCGTTGCTCCGAGTCCTATCCTGCTCGGATATTATAAGAACTTTATCTATATCCCTTTATTGATTCCTTTCACCCACTTAAATACTTCTATCATATCTCCCCGCACTCTTCGTTTTTTCTAGGGAATGCAAGTTAAGTTTCTTTAACCTATCCTGATATGGAAGGTTTCTAAGTCCCGGAATCATTTTTGTCATTCTTCGCTGCACCGACTCTAGTGAATTTATATCCATTCTATAATAGGGGCACCAGAACTGAACCGCATAATCGAGGTGCGGCCTAACTAGCGCAAGATATAGTTGCAATAAGACCTCTGCACTCTTGTTACTTACACTTCTAGATATAAAACCCAATACTCTGTTTGCCTTATTTCGAACATTAACGCACTGTTTTCTAGGCCGTAGGTCCGGGCTTACAAGTACCCCTAGGTCTCTTTCACAAGTCGACTTCTCTAGGTTGATGTTGTTAAGGCTGTATACATTATAAGTATTTGTTCTTCCAATATTAAGTACGCTGCACTTGCTGGTGTTGAATTTCATTTGCCATTTTTCAGACCACCCCTGCAGTTTATTTAGATCCTCCTGTAATGCATTTGCATCCTGCCCTGAATTAATCTGCCGCCCTATTTTGGTGTCATCCGCAAACTTGCTTATGTCACTGCTGATCCCAGTATCTAGATCGTTTATGTAGATTATGAACAAGAGTGGGCCTAGTACTGACCCTTGGGGAACCCCACTGGTTACACGGCCCCACTCAGATTTAACACCATCTACGCTGACCCTCTGCGTTCTATCGGTGAGCCATGATTTTATCCAATTTAAAACTTTCCCCTCGATACCATGAGCCTTAATTTTTCTCAGAAGCCTCTGATGCGGTACTCTGTCAAATGCTTTGCTAAAGTCTAAGTAAATAACATCGTAATTTTCTTCATTATCTACTACCTCGAAGACTTTCCTAAAAAACGTTAGCAGATTTGTTAGACAAGATTTTCCCTTTGTAAATCCATGTTGAGAGTCGTAGATTAATTTGCTTTTCTTTAGATGCGATCGGATGCTATCTGCTATAATTTATTCAAGAAATTTCCCCACTACTGACGTCAAACTGATCGGCCGGTAATTTGACGCTGATGCTCTGTCTCCCTTTTTGAATATGGGTACTACATTTGCCTGTTTCCACAACTCTGGCACAACTCCAGTGTCTAATGATTTTGTAAATAAGTTTACGAGGGGTCCGCTAATCTGTTCCCTACACTCTTTTAAGACTCGAGGAAATATTTCATCCAACAGTGCAACAAGAGCCCTTACATGTCCAATACTTGCCAACAGTGTGCATCAGAGAGCCCGTACATGCCCAGTACTTACCAAGTGTGCAACAGAGAGCCTGTGGGGTTCATGATGTTTGGTTCACACTCAGGATGGGATGGAGAAAGGAAACTCACAATGTGCTCTCATGTATACATGTTGTATTGGATGTACAATGCAGCTTGGTGCTGGGAAGGCAGCATGGTTACAAGCGTGATGTAGAGAGAGCTGGTTGGTGAGGATGCTCAGAGGAGGACCAGCTTGTGGGTCGCCATGCTCGCCGGCGGGAGCGAGGACCACCAGGCAGGCGGAGGAGGAGGAGGTGTTGCTGGCTGGTTGGTGTCGGTAGAAAGAGGCAGGTCACCACGAGGTCAGGTCTTAAATAGCGGGGGGTAGGCGTGGCTTAGTAGTTGACCCCTGCTCCGTGATGTATGGCGGCGCTGGTTGACCTAGACCACGAGGCATACACTCACTAGCGTAGCTAGGGGGGGGGGCGGCGGTCCGCCCCGGGCGGCACTTTTGGGGGGCGGCACTTTTGGGTCTGCTCATCACCCATATCTGCAGCTACTGGAGACGTTAATCCATCCCTTTGTATCGGCGGCAAGTTAATCCTTGTCGTGTCTGACCTAACACCTGACCCACATCATCACGGCCACGTCATGAGCTACTTGCCCCCCGCCACACACACAACCTGTAACCTGTTGAGGATTAAGGAAACAACTTCAAACAAGTACGCCAGTGAGCTCATGTGGTGTGGGTCAGGTGTTAGGTCAGACACGACGAGGATTAACTTGCCGCCGATACAAAGGGAAGGATTAACGTCTCCAGTAGCTGCAGATATGGGTGATGAGCAGACCCAAAAATGCCGCCCCCCAAAAGTGAAGGATCACGAGATGCTGAATTGCCATACGACATTGAATTGAGGAGAGAAATGTTTTCTTCGCTGGACAGAGTGATCCAAGAAATAACTTTGAGATTTCAACAGCTTCATGAACTTGCTGAGAAATATGCCTTCCTTACCCCATTGAATCTTTTGGATGATAAATATGAGTGTCAAATAGATCACGATCACGACGACATTGATAAAGAGGAGTTCCTCGTTGAGAGAAAAAGACTTCAGCATTTTGTTGCTGTTGCTGCTATAACTATTAAAGACAGAATACAGACGTGGAAAGAAGGCCCCCTTGAACTTTTGCAGTTTATTCAAAAGTATAACCTTGGGAACTCGGTTCCAAATATAGTAATAATGCTGAGGATTTTCCTCACAATTGCTGTTAGTGTTGCTACCTGTGAGAGGAGTTTTTCGAAACTAAAACTGATCAAGAATTACTTAAGATCTACTATGAGCACCTTGCGGTTGAGAAATCTTGCCATACTGTCTATAGAGCGACAATTGACAGATGAAATAGTTTTTGACAATGTCATTGAAGAATTTGCCAACAAAAAAACAAGAAAAGTTACTTTGTAGAAAGTTGTAGTTTTCATTTCAGAAATATAGATGGTCCTAATTTTTTACACTTTTTTACTTTTTTCCCTATCCTATATGTCGTTTTTGCTTTTTGTTTAACTGTTACTTATAAAGTTTAAGTATGTTTGGTGTGTATTTAAAGCATACTATATTTGAGTATGTGAAAGTACAGTAATATTATAATGGTACACAAACTATTTAATATATTACATATACATAAGAGTGAGTCACTGTGCAATATGTATTTTTCGTGGGGGCACTGGGGGGGCAAACTCAAGGAGCCCGCAGCACTCTGCTACGCCACTCTAGCCAGCCCACCAATTACCCAGTGTATGATACACTGGGGAATTGGTGGAGTCGGCTACTCAGCGACAAACAGCGTTTGTAGGGGAGAAATCCACTACAAGCCTGTAGCATTGTGTATGTGGCGCAGTAGTCAAAGTTCTCTTTCTTATGTGTCAATCTTCTCTTTCTTAGGACCACATACACACGTACATAAAGGTGATCTCGTACTCAGGATGGAGGTGAGAAAGGAAACTCACAAAAGCGTTTTCTTTGCGTATATTGTATGCAAAGTGGAGTAAGATGCTGGGGAGTTGCTGTGTTGTTGAGGAGCTTATCGAGAGGAGGTCTTGTCGGTTTGAGAGCTTGGAGTAGAATGCCTTTCTTGAGCTTGATGTCTTTAGTTAAGAACTTAAAATCGGAAGGAAGAAAGAAGACATGGATTTGGGGGAGTATAAATGTAGAGTTTAAAAGAACCTGGACTCAACTCTTTTTCTTTTCTTTTTTTTTTGGGGATATTACCTACGCGGACCTAAATCTAAGATGCTGGTCCACCCACTGCTGGGATAAAACACCAGCATCTTTTTAGTTAACTGTACATCTCCACCACGAGCGTGGGGGTGGATGCTCGGTAAGAAACTGTAGGGTTTCTTGAGAGTGGTTGGTGGTTAGCATTTTGGCAACCTTTTCTGCTGTGATAGGGGGTTGTATGTTTCTCCTAGCTAATTGTGTTCCAGGGCACTCTATGAGGTAGAGTGCTGCAGTTTGTTTTCGGCTCCGCTGTCGCAGGTCTTGCACATGCGCTGCTCAGTGCCGAATTTAGACCTGTGGTGGTCCATGGGCAGCCTCTTTGTGGAGGCCCCCCTCATTATAACTACCCAAGAGGGTGGGGTGGCGAGTG